GACAAGAAAACCGCATGGACAGGATTGGTGTGCTATGGTCCATGGGGTCACAAAGAGTCACAGACACGAGTGAACAACAACACTTTCATCAAACAATCATGAAGAAAGGGTTTTATAAACATTAAAAGCCCTACAAAAACACTCCAATGGTCCAAAGGACGGTAGTAACAGCTAGGATTTATGAGGTTTACAAAGTGTTTTAGACATTATATTTTTTTATCCTCATGAGGACCCCCCGGGGAGGTAGGTGTTATTATTATCCCCATTTTATAGATGAGGAAACTGAGAGGTTAAGTGCTTTGCCCAGGGTCTGAGTGTCTGAGGGAGGATCTGAACTCATATCTTCCCAATTTCAAGTCCAAAGCTCTATCAGCTTTGCCAGCTGGATGTCTCAGGGAACTGGGATGATATCAATGGGACTACTTCTTCCATCAATGCTGATGACAGCTGCCCTTGCCTGCCAATCCTGTATGATATTGGTTTGTGTCCTTCTTATGTCCACTCAGGGAAGGATGTGGGGGAGGACAGGGGACCCATCTGATATGTCGAAGGAATTCTCTTGCCATCAAGTAGATGCCAGTGAAGCCTGTGGGCTTTCCACTGATATAGCTCTCACCCAGCAACCAGCCCACCTCTATTTTCAACCATACCTTTTTTAGATGACAAAGGATGTCAGGAGAAAAATATTTACTACAATCTCACAAGCATTCTCCCATTTGATCTGTCAATAGCCCTGTGAGGGGATTATTATGCCCATGTGACAGATGGGGGAACTCATGCTCAAAGAGTTAGGGTGACTTGCCTAAGGTAACACGGCTTGCAAATGAGTAACCGGTAGTAATTGAATCCAAGCCTTCCGACTATTATCCAATACCATCCTGTCTCCCCTACAAAGCAAAACCTCCACTACAAGGGAGATCTAGCTAAGTAGAACCCTCAAATAAATGAAAAATTTTAGGAATTTCAACTTTGAAAAGAAAAAGATGAAAACCACACACAAAACACACACAAAAAAGTACATATAAGGGATTTAGCAAAAGTAAACAAACTCACCAGGAGTATCCTAAGCCTCAAGGAATTCATGGCGCTCAGTCTCCTACACCTTCTCCATCTCCATCCATAAGCCTGGGCACTAAGAATTCACATTCAGCCAAGTCTCCTCCAACACTTCCATCCCTACCCACAGGCCTGGGCAGTGAGAATTTCCGTTCAGCCCAGTTTCCTCTACTTTCCCCATCTCCAACTTCATCTTCAACAAACGTTAATAAACCATGTACTATGTGCAGGACCTGGAGAGGGGGCACTGCAAAGGACACAAAAGAGGAACATGACACGGTCCTCCCCTCAGGCGGCTCACAGTCGAGGAGGGGGCGATCTCACACACATACATAAACATAATACACAATGAGTGTGCAAGAAGTACAAGCAAAGGGTTCTTTGAGGTCTATGGAGAAGAAAAGGCATCAGGGAAGGCTTCTTGGAAGAAGCAGCCTTATTAAAGACTCTTCTCTACCCCAAAGCCAAGAGAGTGAGAGCTAGCACAAAGGATCGTGGCCCTGAGCATCTGTCAATGACTTTAACTTAGTTTGATTAGCAAAGACATTCCTAGGGGGATACACATGGGGACTGGACCTAGGATTTCACCAGTATAGGGAACTCCTAGATCCACTGATGCAGGGCCACACCTTCTCTGTGACTTGTGGGCTGGGGAGGAAGGGGGAGGTCTGGAGCACTGAGAGGTTAAGTTACTTGCTCAGAGTCCCACAGCCAGTCAGAGGCAAGATCTAAACCCTGAACCCTGGCCTTTGTGGCTTGAAGGCCATCAATCTATCCCTTATGCTCATTGAAAAAAGAGTCTCTTTCAATCTGTTACCTCATTGGATCATCACAACTCTCATGGTTGTGGTCCAAGAAGTATTACCCCCTTGTAACAGAAGTGGAAACCTAGGCCCAGAGAGAAAAGGATTTCCACAAGGTCACACAGCATGGACTTGAACACAGATCTTCTGACTTCTTATCCAATGCCTTTTCTGTGGCACTGTGCTGCTACTGTTTGGAGTTGGGCAATTGAGAAATATTTCCAGCTAACAAGTGGGAAAGAGGACTGGGCTTGGAGTCAGGAGATGTAGGTTCAAATCCTGGCTCTGACATTCACTATGTGACCCTGGGTTTCTCCTCTCTAAGCCTCAGTTTCCTCATCTACAAAATGGGTACCATGAGGCTCGCCCTACTGACTTAATAGGGTTGTGTAATGAGGAAAGTTTTGTAAACAGTACAGAAATGTGAGTTATTTTTTAAATCATACCAACAATATTAATAATGATGAAAGATTTGGGGGAATTATACCATCATTAACAGGAAAACTTATTTAACCATTAAGTCCCCATCCCCCAGATATCCAGATTACTCATTGGTTTCATCAAATATGTATAACTCTAAAGGTTTACATATAAAATTGGAAATTAGTGGGGGAAAAAGATGGAAACCAGCAAAACTGGGGTACCAAGAAGAAACAAGGGAAGCTCATTCTGCACAGGACAGAACCAGAAATATAACCAGAAATTCCATCACCCAGGGCAATATCTGATCCTACTGGGATAGGGAGAAGTCTAAGGCATGATCACTCCTATGTAAGGTTAAGGCAGACTGGAAATAGGTTAAGGAAGGTGAGAGGCTAAAGAATTGAGAGGCCAAAGTGTTTGATGAGGTCATGGTGAATAAAATATTTATGAAATGCCCACTACTTTCCAGGCACTGTGCTAAATGCTGGGCATACAAATTCAAAAAGAAATACAGTCCTTGCCCTCCAGAAGCTTACATTCCAATGAGGATGACAACACACAAAAGAAAGCGGAAAAGATAGGAGGGGAGACAGGAGGTATCCACGATAGGGGGATGGTGGAGAAGTAATTTTTTTAAAAGTCTAAACTGAATGCAGCCAAATGGGAAATGAGGGGTAGGAAATGAGAGATCTGAGGACGTATCTGTCCTGCCCCTCTCCTTAAATGGAGGCATTTGTGGCTCTGCCCTCCAATCAGCAGGCGCTGAGGAGGTGTGAGCCACAAGGCATCACGTATTTTCCAAGATGATTAGACTGCTCAAAAATGAGTTTACCAGGGCCAAGATGGAGAGACCAAACGAGTGCCTGGAGAAGTCAAAGAAGGATGAGAGATGGAGAAGACTGAAGTGATTGAAGAGAGGGCAGAGTGTCCTGGGGATCCACAGATCACAGCAGCAAGTATCTAGACAGGCTGGAGTAAATTTTCAAAGAGAGATGGCTGCTTGCTGAGTGATGCTGAGTGATGGGGGGAGGGGGGTGGCGACGGGAAATCACCAGTGGGGAGCAAGGAGCATGGAAGTTCTTCCTCCTGGCCCTGTATAAGAGAGGCCTGAAAGAAGCAGCCAGCCTTGCCAACTACCAAGAGAAGTAGCATCTTCTGGAGAAAACTAGTCCAAGTGAGCACCAAGAAGATGGAAAGAATTCGAGAAGAGATCCAGGGATAAAGATAAATTTGTAAACAATAGATGAGGTTTCCACAGGACACTGTAGAAAGGGAGGTCAGAGGAGAATAGGAACTAGCAAAGGCTAGGGTTGAGCTGGCTGGGGATGAGAGGGTCTTGGCACCCAGAGAAACAGTCCCACCGTGGATCCTGTCATTAGAGAGAACATAACCTATCCCATTCTCCAAACTCCACTGTCAGAAACCCCACTCCCTCACCCTCTCCCTGAGCTGCCTTCTCCCCAGCAACCCCTAAGGGGGTATGGGTTGGCAGTGAACCAAAAGTTATAGGAAGGGCAGCATCTAGACCTCAGCAGGGAAAAAAGCAGTAGCTCCCCCCCAAGCGCTGGGGCCTGAGGCAAAGTTCCAGCTGCCCAGCATTCATTATGGCTCTACCTAAAGTTCACAGCATTTGTGGGGAACAGAAAGTAAAACACCAACAATAAAAGATGTCTACAAAACACTGGAGCCAACTGCCCTGGCCAGGCCCTGAGGAAAGCGTATGGCTCGCCGTCTATCCTAGTAGTAGCACTACTACATTTCCCTGAGCATCAAACTCACAGATGCCCAAGTCCATAGATCTGCAGCTGTAATGACCAAGGACACTATCTTCAACAGTACCACTCTTGCAGTCTCCTTCGGCCCCACCTCGTCCATTCCACCAAACCTTCGAACATCTAAGCAAAGAGGCGTGAAGCAGAAGCCTCTTTCTTTAGCTGGAAGGGGCCACAGAGATCATCTACTTCAACCCTCTCATTACACTGGCAGAAAAACTTGAGGCCCTGATCGAAGTGACTTACAGGATAATAGGATGTAGGGAAAGAAGAGGCCTTAAAGAGCATCTCGATCCAACCACCCACTTTACAGATTAGGAAACTGAGGCCAGGAAAGCCGAACTGATAGGTAGCAGAGCCAAGCTTCAAATCCGAGGTTTTCTGGAGCTGAGTCCAGAACTCTCTACCTCCACAGTTTTTATACACAATGTCCAAGCCAAGAGCAGCTCATCAGGGTCTGCCTTCAAAGAGCCTATTCTAGAAAGTCCAACAGAGCTCCAAGCTCCCTGTCTGTCCCACTTTCCCTGCCCCGCCCCCCAGGATGCCCTGCCTGAGAGCCCAAGAACAAAGGCTCGAACACCTATAACACTTTAAAGTTTACAAAGCACTTTCCTCAAATCAACCCAGTGAGGCAGGTGGCACAAGGATTATCCCCATTTTACAGATGACCAAACTGAGGCTCGAGCTAGGGAGTGGCTTGCTCCCTTGTCATACCCATGAGCAGCAGAGGCAGGCCTCCTAGCCAGGCCTCCTGCTACCAAGGCCATTAAGATGTCTCCACTACATCTCATCGCCTCAAGAAGCCCCAACCGTTTGTTTGCGGTTTGGAGCTCTCCGCTTTTATCTTTTTCAAGGAGCAGCATTTTGGCCTGGGTGAATGGTCCCACTTTGCACTGGCCACACAAGGGGCTCCCCGGGGCGGCCTCACCCGCATGCCCATACTCACCCGGAGGCTTCATGTAGTACTGCTCGATATCAGCCATGTCCGTGTGCAGCGCACACTCCAGGTAGGTGAGGATCACCTTCCGGCTGTAGTAATACCTCATGGCCAGAAGGAAGACAGGCACGAAGCAGGTGAGTAACAGACATCTGGTCAGTACAAAGCACAGCACTGCGGAAGAGAAGGGAGGAAAGGGAGAGACTGCAAACCCATCATCTGGGGTCGACCGCCGGCTTGGCTGCTGCAAGACAGGGGCCATTCCCTCCCTCCCTTCCCCATCCCATCACCCGGCAACAAGCGATTCACCGGTATGGCTGAAAGCTGCCACTCCACAGCAAAAGTCCGGTTCCTGGTCATCTCAAGAAGCCATTTGGAGGGAGAAAAAGTGTATTTCCTTCATCTTTTAGGGACATAAATAATAACAGCTCATGATTCTACCACTATACTGATAGGGAAACTGAGGCCCTGAATTGTGAAGGACTTACATGATAAGGGAACTTAGAGATGGAAGATCATCCAGGTCCAACCACTGACTTTCCAGATGAGGAAACTAAGGCTCTGTATGTATAAAGGGCTTTCTCCACAGCAGCATTATCAGGTGGGTAGGGCAAGTATCAATAGTCCCATTTTACAGCTTAGGAAACTGAGGCAGAGAGAGGTCTAAGTGACTAACCCAGAGCCACAAAATTCCAAACCTAGAAGAAAGGACCTAGTTCAAGCTCCCCATTTTCACATCATGGTACCAAATTGTCAGCATCAGGATTCCAATCTAGTTTTCCTAACCGCCTCCCGATAAGGAGGAAGAGGAATGAAGAAATGGCAAAGTACAGAGCAATGGCCATGTTGAGGAAGAAGAAGGCAGGCAGGCAGGCAGGAGCCCGAGGTTGGGGAAGCAGGAGGCCTTGGTTCCTTGACTGCACCAAGCCCAGATTCCTGTCCTGGGGTGCGGCGGACTGACGCACATTTCCTAAATCCCACACAGGCAAGGAAACTGCAGTCAGTCCAATTCTGAGGCTGGGCGCTGCAGAATTCCACAGAGCCTTCTTCCCCCAGCTAAAGCGCTTGGTGGGTGGGCTGGGATGGAGGAGAGGTAGAGGCAAGGTGCTAGGTACAGAGGGTCTATCAGCCAGGAGACACCCAACCCTCTGTCGATGAAGAAAATCAGTACATTCTAGAGAAATGTGAAGGGGAGCAGGGGACCCATATCATTAACTCTTAAGGCCAAAGGTCATTCCCAGCTCTGTTTAGTGAACCACTGGAAGCTTGCCTTGTACTCCTCCTACCCCAGACTTAAGCAGCCTTTCTGTGTTTGTGCAGCATTTCTACATGCTGGCTAGACAGATTTCCAATGGGATGGATGAGGGCACTCAAAATCAAGAATGGCTAAGTATTCCTCCCAGGTCTCGCTGCCATTCCCCTTCTCCTAGTCCCTTCAGAACCTAGGAGTAAAGGATACTCTCCCTCTGACTTCTTTCTTTCTCTCTGTCTGTCTGTCTGTCTCTATCTCTGTTTCTCTCTGTCTCTCTCTGTCTCCCAGAGCTGGAGATCTTCCCCTCATAAATTAACACTTGGGGGCTGTGCTGAGCCAGCCTCCCCCGTCTTGATAAATTATATATAGTCACACTTCCCTGGCAGAGCATCAATTGCCCTTATCAACCGTCCTCAGCATCTCCTGCAACCTTTGCTAACCACCCCCATCTCATTCCAAGGCAAGAGTACCATGAGCTCTGACCTCTTCCTGTCCCAAAATGTACTGTCCAAGGCCAAAGTCAGAAAAGCATGAAAGGCGGATAAGGGGGAGGGGAAGGAGAGAGGAGAGAGGAGAGAGGAGGAGAGAGAGAGAGAGAGAGAGAGAGAGAGAGAGAGAGAAGAGAGAGAGACAGAGAGAGGGGAGAGAGAGAGAGAGAGAGAGAGAGAGAGAGAGAGAGAGAGAGAGAGAGAGAGAGAGAGAAGGGTGGGTGGTTAAAGGAGAGAGAAAATGAGAAAGCAAAACCCAAAAAGGGAAGGAGGGGGGAGTGTGGGGAGGAAAGGGTAAGAGAGAGGTGAGAGAAGATAAGAGTGAAGGAAGTAGCAGAAGTGATGGAGGAGATGGAGAAAGAAGAGAGAGTGAAAGGGGAAACGAGTCATACTATGAAAAAGAAGAATGAAGACACAGGACATAGTAGAGACAGAGAGATAACAGCGTAAGGAACACTAGAGAGAGAAGAGACAGTGAGGCAGAGAAGAGCAGGCTTTCGCCTGAGTAGAATCTAGTACCTAACATGCTTTGGAGAGAGTACTCAGCCGAAGGCAGCCAGGGGACCCTCACAGGAGCTTCAAGCGTCTTCAACAGAAAATGACAAATCGACTCCCCCACCCCTTTACTGTCCTTCCCACCCCCACGCCCACTCCCCACGAACCCAGTCTACAGAGAAAAACAACGACTCGGCTTCTCCCACGCAGCAGAGGGCAACGGTAGGGAAGGGGAGAAACTTGGCATGTCTTCTGCCCCAGGGCAGCAGCAAGTTCCTCCACCTCGGGCGTGAGGGGCTGGCAAATAACGGCGGAAGGGAGGCCTGCCTTTGACCTGGGCAGTATTGCACTCTGCCAGCCCGAGCTGACCAGCCCCAGAGGCAGGGGAGAGAATTCCACCAGCTCTCCCGCCAGCTCCACTCGCAACCCGACCCGCACCTTGGTCTCTAGGTTACAGTGGAATCCTGTTTCCCTGGGGCGGAGGGGCTCTAGGACAGAGAAGGAGAGCTCCAGCGTCCAGCTCCCCTGAAGAAGGGGAAAATGGGACGGGGAAGGGCGGGGAAGATAGAGGGGAAGACGGAGAGAGTGGAAGGAATCGAAAGAGGGAGGGAGCTACCAAGGAGCAGCTCCATTCATCCCACTCTGGCCCTGGGTCCCCCGCTGCTCCCGTGGCTGCCCCCTCCCCTCCATCAGCCACCGGCCTGATAGGCCTCCCACGGTCAAGAGGAAATGCGTCCACAACCCCCGCCCCACCCAACCCCACAGAGAGACCCGGCATATAAAAGACTCCCTTGGGCTTGTTTTTAACTCCTGTGCCCGAGTCTGAGCCTGCAAATTGTGCACCCTCTTCTAGAACTGGGAATATGCATGTGTCCGTTTACAGACTGGCTGCATTGTGCGTGTGTGGTGTGAGCGTGTATGAGAGACAGAAAGACAGAGAGAGAGAGAGAGAGAGAGAGAGAGAGAGAGAGAGAGAGAGAGAGAGAGAGAGAGAGAGATACTGTGTGTATCTCTGTGTGTGTGTGTGTGTGTGTGTGTCTGGGGATTCTGAATGCATTCGTGGAGTGCTGCGCTCCGGGGGCTGGATTCGGAGGGAGTTTTTTGCACACTGCGGGATCTCTAGCTGCTTCTGAGGCTGGAGAGGCGAGGAGAGGGAGGTGTAGCGCGTGGGGATCTGGAAGTATCTGCGCCAAAAATACAGACCCGTGAAACGACAGGATGGGAAAGAAGGAGGACAGATCCTCTAACGGAGGCAACGAACGGCCTCTGTATCCCATGCTCGCGTCCTAGGACCCCACACCGCGGAGGTGGCGCGAACAAATTGGCTACTTACACGCCAGAAGCACATACATCAGCTGCGTGAACGGCTGCTGCTTCAGGCCCCGGAACGCCGTGTTGGGGATTCTCTCCATGATGCCGTCATAGAAGATGCGGCGCACCGTGTCTTGCTCTGCAGGGTGGAACTCGCGGATGCAAACGTGGTCCTTTTTACCATCTTCACCCGCCACCTCACCGGCCGCCGTGCTGGGGGGCGGCATAGGAGGCGCCGGGGAGGGCGCTGAGCCGCCGGAGAGCGAGGGCCACATCTGGGAGGAGGACACGATCACTGTGTCTTTCTTGGAGCCGGGGATGGTGTCATGATCTTCTGCCACGATTTTCGTCTCGCAAACCATTTTGGGAGACAGACAATGCATGCAAACTGGCCGGGAAAGAGACTAGGTGTGCAAAAAATAATAAATAAATCTCAACTTAAATACCAGAATATCTTTTAAAAGGAATGCTGTGAGTGGGCTCTTCTTTCCCCCCCTCCCCCCAAGCCTGTGGTTGGTCGTTTATGAGCCCAAAACGGATGGAACCAGCTGGAAAGATAGAAAGGAACAGCGGTGCATTTTGGAGAAGTATTTATAATGCGGCAGAGCCGGTGCAATCTTGGATCCCGGGGTCCCGCAGGGTCCTAGCGTCCATTGCATTGGCTGAGAAGGGTCACCATGTGATCTCGAGGGGTGGGGAAGAGAAACACCTCCCCCGCTTTGGCGTTTGATTGCAAATTACTACAGCAGTGCCTTTCTCCGGTTTTGCGTGTGTCATTCTCCCTCCCCCTCCACCCCCTTCTCTCTCCTCCTCCCTTCCCTTCCCTTCTTGGTTCGAGGCCTGCAGAGGGGCGCTAGATCACTCACTAAGCTGTCGAGGGTGGTCCTGGCTTACTCTGGGCTGAGGCAGGGGGCGAGAAAGACCGAGTTTCATGGCGTGCTGGGCTTTCGCTGTGCGCGTCTTGGCTAACGTGGCGGCAGTGGCGACAACCCTGAGCGAGCGCTGGACGCGTTGCGCTTAGCACAAGTTAAATAAGGCGGCGTGCACCAGCCTGCCAAAATCGCCGTCTCCCCCCACCCCCAGCTTTGGGTGGCGGCGCTTCCCAGACAGAAAAGTTGATTGATCTGAAGGTCGTGTCCCCAGCACTCCATTGCCCAGCCCGGGAAGCCCCCTTTAAGGAAGTGACTGGGGGGTCAGATCGCTGGATGCACTTGGGCGTTCGCACCCTATTTTTGGATGTTCGTTTTAAGGAAGGCCTCTAGAGAACTTGTAATTCACCGGGAGGGGGGGGAGGCGACAGGTGGAGGAGGCTGCAGCTACTGATTCAGTATATGAGAATCTTTCCTGGGCTCTCCCGCCAGCCTTTGTCAAGCTGAGCGCCTCACATATACTCGGTCTGCTCTCCACTGTGCTGGGGGTGGGACCTTCTGGGGTCTTAGTCCTCGGGCAGCACTTAGGCGGTTTAGGAAGGCCAGACTTAAGCTCAACCCAACCATAAACATACACCTCGATTACAGCGGCTGAACAATAGCGGATGGAATCCCCAAGATCTGACGTTCTTATGACAAACGCGTAGGGGACAAAAAAAAGAGGTTGGGATTGGGAGCCTAAGGGTTCCAAAAGATGGAGCCCCTGCCCAGGAAGGGAAGGACCTGCTCTGGCTCACAAACCAGAGTTCGAGCTTCCTCGAGGCTCGTTCTCCCGTGGGAGGGGCTCGGAAAGTACGCTTGGGCTGGGCCAGGTGAGGAAATAGCGAGCTGTGTCGTGCCTAAGCTCGCTCAGCGCAGCGGGCAGTCCTGCCGGCCGAGCACCCTCCCGGGGTAGGTCTGTAGGCAGCGCGGACAAACGAATATATTAAATACACCCAGCTCGGGCGCTCCAAGGGCGCGCGTCGGAAAACGGGCTAGAAGGGATCATAGAGCGCCGCGCACCCCTTTTAACGAGTCCACCCTCTCGACTTAAGACTCCTGCTGCTCTGACAGGGCCATGCAGTCCCATTTCTCCTAGAGACAGAAGGTAGACTCAGCCAACACCCTACCCATTCCTCCTTTTATTTTAACCACCCAAGCCTGAGATGCAGGGAGGCGGAATGAGGGAGATGACTCCCCGGACAGCAGATAGGGCGCCCCAGACCCTATGGCAACCTGTCAGTGGGATCAGAGCCCACAGACCCGAACATCAGGTCCCCAGCACAATTCTGGGTCCCGACCCTACGAGCCACAGGCTGAATCCAAGTTCACCCCTGGGCGTGGGGCCGTCCAGGTACAACGTCCGGGCCAGTCCCCTCTCTCCTCGCCCGGCGCCTCCGCTTGCCTCTTATAGACCAAACTCAACCTTCTCCCGGTTTGAACCGGCCAGCCTCCTGCTCCCCCTCTCTTTTCTCCTCCTCCTCCCACAGCCCCCCACAGCAGCCGGGCCCCCGGCCCCGCCTCCGCCCACTGCCTCCCGCCCCCGCGCCCCTCCCCACCCCTCCAGGAACGCATGCGCCTTGCTGCCTCGGTGCAGGTACCCGATGAGGTGGCCCATTCTCCGGGCTGGGGCATTGCCGCTGGAGTTGGGGGAGGAGGAGGAGAGAGGGAGGGTTTCTGACTGGAGAGGCATGAGGGGGCGGTTTCTTCCCCCTCCTCCCAGCCCCAGCGTCTAAGATGGAGCAGCGGCTCCCTCCCGCTGTCCGGCTCTGGCCGCCCCGCCCCCGGCGCTGCCTGAGAGCCGGGGCGGGAGGCGGGGAGGAGAGATGTGGAGTCGGGCTCACCGCGCCTGCGCCAGCCTTGCTCCAAGCTAGGGAAAGAGAGAGGGGCACCATCACTGACTAGAAGCTCCGAAGTAGGTTTGGACCCGCTCTGCGGGACTGGGAGGCTTCGGGGCCAGAGCTCCAGGGTCGTGCTCCCTGCCTTCAGAGGTTCAGGGAAAGATCTGGACACCCCAGTCTGCCAAGGACAGCCCCCTGCCCTCCTCCAGCCTGAGGGTGGTCCCTGAGCTGGAAAAAGATCATATAATAAAAGGAGGAGACTGGGACCCAGAGACTTGGGACCAAGAGACTTGTCCAAGGTCACGCTGATAGGCAGGAGCAGGGTCAGAATTCAAGCCCCATGGTGAGGATGGTGGGCGTTGGTTGTTTTGTTTTGTTTGGGGCAGAGAAGGGTAAGTAAACTGAATGACACCCCCTCCTGGGGTTTTGAGTGACCCCTTCTGGGTTCCCCCCCCCTCAAGTTTTTTTTTTTAATTTTGCAGAAACCACAGAAGGCTAGCTCGATGTTCTGGAGTGATGTTTACATTTCCCCCACATAGGACATACAAGACCAGGGCCTCCCAAGACAGAAATTGTGTTCTAGTCTTGCTTCTGCAAGGAAAGTTAGTCTAATTGTATTGGATGTGCCCTAGGCCTTATCCTGTGTCCCTTTTGTACCAGGGACTGACCCTCTGCTCTAGATTGTCTTCTTACCGAGATCTAAAGTCCTCTTTACCCCACAGATGTGGCCTTGTCTAGATAATGTCCCCTTGACACATTTTAATTCTGTCCCCTGTCCAGAGTGCTCCTTATCTCCATGGTACCATGTTGATGATTGGATTTTCAAGTTCTTCTGTGTAGGCATGACCTTCAAAGGGGCCACAGAGAGAGGAGCTTGAAGACTGGAGACCTGGAGAGAGACACTGGCAAAGAGGAGACAAACTCAGTTCCTTGGGAGAGGCCTACATGGACCCCAGTGATAGCTGTAAAGAAGCAAAGTGATCCTAGACCAGTCCTCCTAGACTAAACACTGTGGTTCCTGGATCAAATGGGAACCAAAGTTGGGGAGAAAGAAAGGGAGGACAGAGCTCTCATGTGGATGAGCTTACATTTCACTAGTAATAGGAGTTCTGTCCCTTGGGGACGGGGGTGGAGGCAGCATGCAGGCAGCAGGGATTACCTGTCTTTTGGCCGACTACTTTTCCCTTGGTGGGGGCAAAGGTGGTATTTTAAGTCTAGAGAATATATAGGGCTCTGGAAGGTAGAGGCCAACAAGAGAGAATAGGAGAGTTATTCCATGTCATGGTACCCTAAACACTCTTGTAGGAGCTAAGAATCCTTTTCCCTTTCTATAAGGATTTATGGGATAGGGACTTCCCAGATGAGGAAACTTTGGTTGGTACCCTTTCTGCAACTTAAACTTTAGAGAGTTGCCTAGAGGTTGAGAGGGTAAATGTGATTTGCCCAAAGTCATTTGGCATATATGCATGTAATATGTATGTATGTATGTATGTATGTGTGTATATATGTGTCTGTATAATACATAAAATATGTATGTATGTAATATATTTATATATATACATATGTGTGTGTTAGAGGCAGAACTCATATACATACTGGCTCTGCAGCCAGCCATCTACTACCAGGGGTGGGGAACCCATGGCCTTGAGGCCTTTTAGGTCCTCAAGTGTGGCCCTTTGACCGACAAATCAGGTTTGTTCTGTGAAGTTTAGATTCAGGCAAAGGGCTGCACTCAAGGACCTAGAGAAACACTTGTAGCCTCGAGGCCGCAGGTTCCCCACCCTGTAACTATACCATGGGGCCAAGCATGCAGCCCTGCCCTTTAATTGCCCTGGGCAGCAATACTTCTGAGTGCTTCTGAACTAGATTAAAATATAAGTGAGAAATATTTAACAAACTAAAAGAAAAGTACAATGGAATATAGATAATGCTTATATGTGGTTTTCTAGGTCAGTATGTTGCCTTCAGGGATCCTTACACCCTTGTTTCTATCTGAGTGTGACATGACCTACCTATACTTATCAACCAAATTCTGACGTTCTTAGAGGGAAAACTGGGTGAGGATGCAAACCAAAGGGTGAGTTGTGTGAGAACACCCCAGGATCAAACCCAGTTGATGAAAATTTATAAGTTGGGCCACAGATTAGGTAGTGAATGAGGAAAAAACCAGGAATCTAGGATCAGAGCTCAAATCCCAACTCTACTAACCAGCTGTGTGACCTTTGGCAAATCACTGGCTCCTCATCTGGGCTGTAAGTGTCCCTCTCTCTAAAATGAACCAATTGGACTAAGTCTTTGGGGAGATCTTTCCTAACTCTTATAGTCTGCGTTTTGTGATTTGAGAATGTTTCTAGGCTCTGACATTCTGTGGCCTTAGGTTCCTTTCAGCTCTAATATCCTGCTCAACTCCACAAACATTTATTGAGCCTCAGAAATTTAACCCATCCCAAGACAGATAAAAGCCACTGTCCCCACCCAGGAAAGAGCCAGTTCTGGGCAATACTGGCTCAGTTCTGCAGCTTTTCTTTTAAAGGGGCAAAGGCAGACATATAGCGCCCATCTTGGATGTTCAAACTGGTCTTTCTCTGCAACAACCTCAGGGGGCAAGTTCAACATATTATTAGCCCCTTTTACAAAAGCCAGGAAGGTGAGACACAGAGAGAGGTTAAGCCTTTGGCCCAGGGTCACACAGCCTGGATGGACTTCTACACGCGCACACACACACATACACACACACATTTTCTCTCTCTCTCTCTCTCTCTCTCTCTCTCTCTCTCTCTCTCTCTCTCTCTCTCTCTCTCTCTTGTCTTCTCTCTCTCTCTCTCTCTCTCTCTGTGTCTCTCTGTCTCTCTCGTCTCTCTGTCTCTGTGTGTGTGTCTCTTTCTCTGTTTCTCTCTCTTTCTGTCTGTCTCTGTCTCTCTGTGTCTCTCTGTCTCTGTCCCTCTCTCTGTCTCTGTCTGTTTCTCTGTCTCTCTCTGTCTGTGTGTGTGTGTCTCTCTGTCTCTCTCTGTGTGTCTCTGTCTCTCTGTGTCTCTGTGTGTGTGTTTCTGTCTCTCTCTCTGTTATCTGTCTCTCTCTGTCTGTCTGTTATCTCTCTCTCTCTCTCTCTCTCTCTCTCTCTCTCTCTCTCTCTCTCTCTCTCTCTCTCTCTCTCTTTCTCTCTCTCTCTCTCTCTGTGTTTCTTAATGCTCACATCCCACTACCACATCAAGGTAGAAGCGGCCATCCTCTTGACCATTTATTTACCTGCAGTGTGATGGAAGATTTTTTTTCAGGAGTTCCTGGGGCCGGGTACAGAAATAAACAAACCTTTCCCTTTAAAGCCCTGCTCCTCAGCTGACTGAGGGAAAGAACAGCTCTCTGGCTGCATCTACGGGATCTGAGAGCAACTGTCTGGAGAGGTCATTGGCTGCAGCATCTGCATTGGGAGCAAAGACAGAGCCTGCCCTATAGCATAGCATAGCATGACACTGCACAGTGAGCTTGGAAATTTCTGATCCTCCATTAGCAAGGGAAGCCCAGCTCCAGA